AACGCCCTGGAAAATATGTGACTGTGGTTGTGGTAAATGCTGGAGTGTATGCATATGTGTCATGCTTCGCACAGAGAGAAAAGTTTTGTGTGCTCTTTTCTAGAACATAACGATTATTTAAATATACTCCAAATACATCCTCTAAAGAAATGGATAATCATAATGAGTTACATACTAAGTTCCTCAGTGCACAATATACACAATTATTTTTCGTAAACGTCACTTCCGAGATAATGTGAATAGTACTGCGCAGCCGCCAAGTCATTGAACTGCAAGTAGCCGGAGCGAGTAGACGTGGTCTTACTTGCTCGATCATTATTGATATATTTTTACATATTGACGAGGTCAATATACTCTTAGAACTTTTTCAGAGTTCATTATCGTTTCTGACGTGGTCAGATCAGTTTTCGGGGGCGATTTTGTCTGACGTGGTCAGATATTTTTTCATCGGTTTTGAAAGTTCAAACCACGTGCGTCATGGCGGACGTTCCTAACCCTGACGATGATAAAGCACCGGTCAAGGGAAAGAAAAAAGCCCCGAACAAATCATCGTCTTCGGAGAAGACACAGTCTAACTTACGTTCGTCGTCGAGTTCGTCGACTTCGACTGGCACTTCCACGTGTTCTCGTGGTCATGGCGGAGGACATGATAGTTCCGCGCCAAATAACGAGAATGAGATTCTCAACATATTAAAAGCGATTCAAGAGAATCAAAAGAAACAAGACGATCGTATGACAGAGCTAGAAAATCTGTATGATTATGATTACCAAGAATATGAAGATCGTCAAGACGATACCCCGGACGAACCGGGTACTTCCGGTGAAGCGGCTTCGAGGAAGCGCGCATTAAACGAGATTCTGACTGATACGGAAAACAAGTACGTCAATGCCGGTAAGAAACTTAAAGTTAAAGAGACTTGTGATAAACCGATTGATGATGAACTAGCTAATCTCGTGACAGATTGGTTCCGAGAGGGAATCGAGGAAGAACGATATAATGAACTTCTGAAAACGACAAATCGTCCTGAAAACTGTTCAGCATTAGTGACTGTGAAAACTAACCAAATGGTTTGGGATTTTTTGAGCCCAACTACAAAATCTTCCGATAAGAAGATGCAAAATGTTCAGACTTCGTTGATCAAGGGTGCTTGTGCACTCACTAAAATGACTTATTTGCTCGGTAAGTGTGACAATCCCGAGATTTTAGACCTTTTGGGAAATGCTATGGAATCATTGGCATTGCTGGGGCATGCCAACAGACAGCTGTGTATGTTGCGTAGAGAATTTATGAAACCTGATATGAAGGGTGAATATACTCACCTTTGTAGTCATAATTTAAAGTATACAGACTATTTGTTTGGTGACGATGTCCCTAAAACTGTAAAAGACATCACAGATTGTTCCAAAATCAGCAACAAAATTGGTATCGGATATAGAGGGAGCTTCCGTGGTCGCTTTATGAGGGGACGATCACGTGGACGCTTTGTCCGAGGAGCTGCAAGGGGTCGTGGATCCTACTCGAATGCTGCATCCTTCTCATCTGATTCAAAAAACTACCAACGAAGAGGCTTGCAGAGTCGCCTCCAGAAGTAGTTGAAAAGGTATGTGAATTTAGAGCAGGTGTACTAAAAAATTTCATTTCTGAATGGAAAGAGTTAACATCAGATAAAAGTATATTAGATATTGTGAAAGGTTGTCATTTGGAATTTAAAGATGATAAAATTCCTGTACAAAATTCAAAACCTTTTGAGCCACGTTTTAGTTCAGCTGAATCATGTGTGATTGACAAAGAAATTGAATCTTTATTAGATATGAATGTAATTGAAGAATTGTCTGAAAATGTAGACCTTAGTGATGGTTTCATTTCCACTGTTTTCACTAGACCTAAAAAGAATGGCAGTTATAGAGTCATTTTGAACCTGAAAGAATTTAACAAAAACATTGTGTATCACCATTTTAAAATGGATACTTTTGAGAGTGCTCTTGATTTAGTGACTCAAGGTTGTTATTTTGCTAGTGTTGATTTTAGCAATGCATACTATAGTGTCAGTGTGGCAGAGGAACATAGAAAGTTTCTTAGATTCATATGGAAAAATAAGATTTATCAGTATACTTGTCTCGCTCAAGGGTTAGCTAGTGCACCTAGACTCTTTACAAAACTACTGAAGCCTGTTTTTGCAACACTTAGAAGATTAGGACGTGTCATTATTGGGTATATTGATGACTCGTTACTGATTGGCAATTGTATTAAAGAGTGTTTAGATCATGTTTCTGAAACTTTAGCCCTAGTAGAGAGTCTAGGGTTTGTAGTCAATTATGAGAAGTCTGTTCTCACACCTAGTACAAAAATCATTTTCTTAGGAAATGTTATTGATTCTGAATTGATGATAGTTTCTCTTACTGAAGAAAGAAAGGAATCTATTTTAGAGGCATGTAAAAAATTACAAACAAAATCAAGAGAAAAAATTAGAGAAATTGCAAAGGTCATTGGATTGGTCGTGGCTAGTTTTTCAGCAGTAGAATTTGGTCAGCTGTTTTATCGTGATATGGAAAGAGCAAAAACTGATGCACTTGTACAATCACAACATGACTATGATGCTTTCATGATTATAACAAAAGAAATGAAATTAGAATTAGATTGGTGGATTTCTAATATTTCTTCATCAGTTAGAAGAATTTTGCATGAACCCTATGATCTTAGAATAACTTCTGATGCTTCTCATCTTGGATGGGGTGCTGTTATGAATGAATTGAAATCAGGGGGTAGATGGACAACAGATGAATCTGAAAATCATATCAATTACTTAGAATTATTAGCCTGCTTTTTGGGGTTAAAGTGCTTTTGTTCTGATGTAACAAATAAAAATGTCAAATTATTTATGGACAATACCACAGCTATTTCCTACATCAATAACATGGGTGGTATTAGTTCTAAAAAATGTGATAAACTTGCAAAAGAAATTTGGCTATGGAGTATGAATAGGGATCTGTGGTTAAGTGCATGGCACATTCCTGGTAAAGATAATTTGATAGCGGATATGATGTCGCGCAAATTTGATGATCAAATAGAATGGATGTTGAGCAAATCTGTGTTCCATAAAATTGTTTTAAGATGGGAACAACCTGAAATTGATTTGTTTGCAACAAGGTTGAATAAGCAGATTGATGTATATTGTTCTTGGCATCCAGATCCAGATGCCCGTTATGTTAATGCATTTAGTTTTTCATGGGCAAACATTTATGGTTATCTTAATCCTCCTTTCAGCCTCATTGGACGTGTGGTGAGGAAGATTTGTCAGGACCAAGCAGAGTGTGTACTGGTGGCTCCAGTGTGGCCAACACAGCCGTGGTTCAATCGTGTGTTAGAAAAACTGGTGGATCATCCGGTGATTTTACCTGTGATGGACAATCTGTTGACACTTCCAGGCACAGATGTGCAGCATCCTCTGAAAGACTCGTTAGTGCTGATGGCATGTCGATTGTCCGGTTGCAGTACCAAAAACGAGGAATTTCTCATCAAGCAGCCTCGATCCTTTTGGCATCATGGAAGTCGGGAACCAAGAAACAATATAAAACATTTTATACGAGATGGTTTCAGTACTGTAGTGAAAAATCGATTGATCCATTTTGTACAACTATAGAAACTGTTATTGAATTTTTAGCACATCTTTTTCGCCTAGGTTTAGGGTATAGTGCTATTAATACTGCCCGAGGGGCTTTATCTTCTGTTGGACTGATTTTTGATGGGTTTACTGTTGGATGTCATCCACTTGTTATACGATTTATGAAGGGTGTTTTTAATTTGAGACCATCAAAATCTCGATATGTACATACTTGGGATGCATCTATTGTTATCAAGTATTTGAGAAAATTGTCACCTGTAAAATACTTAAGTTTGAAAGACTTGACACTGAAGTTAGTTATGTTAATTAGTTTAATTTGTGCAAGTCGAGTACAAACTATTTCATGCATGAAACTTGGTAATATGACGAGAAGAAAAAATAGCTTTGTTTTTACTTTTAGTGATTTATTGAAAACATGTAGACCTAACAGTAGTATGTCTGACATGGTTTTGAAATCATATCCTCCAGATAGGAGGCTTTGTGTATATATTGTTTTATGTGAATACTTATCAAGGACTGCAAGAATTAGAAATAAGTGTGATTCACTTTTTATCAGTTATGTACAACCACACAAGGAAGTATCAAGAGATACTGTTGCCCGTTGGATAAGAACAGTGATGTGTTCTGCAGGTGTTGATACTACTATTTTTAAGGCTCATAGTGTTAGATCTGCATCAGCATCTAAAGCAAAAGAGAACTTTGTTCCTGTCGATGATATTTTGTCCAAAGTAGGTTGGTCTAATGTCGAAACCTTCAGAAAGTTTTATGACAAACCTGTGCTGAATGATGATAAGTATGCAAATGCTGTTTTGAAATTAAAATAAAGAATTTGATTTCAGTTTGAAAAATTTTTTGTGTTGTGCTTTAAAGATTCACATTATCTCGGAAGTGACGTTTACGAAAAATAATTAGGAAATTAAACGAGACTTACCTTGGTAAAGGCGAAGTTTGATTCCAATTATTGGAGTAAATAAAAGGCACTGTAGAGATAAGGTGCCTCCCTCCCACCCTGCAGGTGGTGAATGTATTATTTGAAATTATTAGTGAAATGAATTTGGGTTTGATGTTTTGTTGCAAATCTATCAACCCAAAAAATTTTAGCTTTGAAGCAATGACTTGGCGGCTGCGCAGTACTATTCACCTTATCTCTACAGTGCCTTTTATTTACTCCAATAATTGGAATCAAACTTCGCCTTTACCAAGGTAAGTCTCGTTTAATTTCCTAATTTTACTGAAATTTTACTGAAAATCAAACTTGTGCAAAAACTCTCTTGCTGAATGACTTTCATTATTATAAATGCTTGAATGTTCATCTATATATTTTCAGCTATTTTCTAGTCAATGTATATATTCTTGATTATGATGGCATCCATATTTGATTCCCCTCTCTGTCATCTTTTCTTGGTCACCAATTAATTCAACAGTAGGCTGGGTAGTCAGATCTCTCAGGTGTTGGACAAAAGGAGTGCTAATAATAAACATAATCTTTGAAATTATAGACAATAACATCCATTTCTTTTTCCAGGTTTGCATTAATTAGTTATCTTTTGAAATTAAAGCACTTCTGCAATAACCTTGAAAACTTGCCAAGATACATTAAATGTTCGTAGCATGCTTTAACTACTTTAATTTTATTTTTGGAAGTTTAGAATAATAGAAAAACAAGTTCAAAAATAAAATGTAAAAGATCTTAAGAATGAAGATTCATTTACACAATGTTATAACACATTGAAGTCAGTTCCTCACCTGACTCTCATAATTTATCTTCATAATGGAGTTGATTCTATGATGATCACTTTCAACCATTTAAAAGAACTTCTTCATCTCAAACTATCTGAAGGTCATCCATCTACCCAACTGCCACTCACCTAAAGTGTACCGAGACTTCTGACCTGTATAATATCAAAATTCAAGATTAAAATTAAAAAAAATCCCTTCACCACACTGGTCTCTTTAAAAAATGTGAGAAAATAATTTAAATACTTTTCTGAAGATGAAATAATGTAGTGAGTATCTAACAATGTTTAAAAATATTTTGATCCCTATACAGTGATAATGTATGAAAAAGTCATGTCCCTTGTATTTGAAAAAAAATTCCATTCTTAAGGACATTACCCAACATGGAAATAATGCACATTTGTCTCTGGCACAACCAAACCACAAAGACCTTTCCATACTTAGCACCATGCATTAGCTCTTCACTCTCTGTTTCTACAAAAGATAAATTATGAAAAGGTAATTTTTTGACAGCTAAGTCAGATTAATTATTTTCCAGTCAGTGATGAACAGAATATTTCATTTCCTTAATAATGAGGGACAGATTATTCATGTTTATCTTAAATGAACAAAGTTTGACCCCCCCCCCCCCATTACAAGAAGGGAAAAATAAACTGACTCAGAAACTCTTATTTAAGTGAGGTAAAGGGAATAATGGCATCAGACAAGGAAAGATTATTAATCTTTTTTTTTTTAGTTGAGATGAGATTATAAATTTCTTTTAAACATTTTTGAGGTTAATATATTTTACCCCCCCCCCCCATCAAACAAAAAATAGTCGCCCCTTTATTTAGCTTTCCTAAATCTATAACAAAATTTTTATTATGATTTTATTTTTTCCATTTTAATTTATTATATCCTGACACTGATACCACCACTATATAGTAGATGCAACAACTAAAGAGGTGACCCCTCGCCCTCTTCTTCCCTCCCTCCCCTAGATGTTTCGTCTAAATGTTAAACGACTGTTGTTCAATATCTTGAAAGACAGAAAACAGTTATACACAAAAAATAAGCACATTTTCAGTACCTTGCAGTCAGTGTCGAGTGACACACGTAAACAACATCTCGCAATCTCTTTGTTTATTCTTGGCGGAATTTTTGTTGCCTCGTAGACTGGTTCCCATACATTGCAAATAATAAGTCATACGCTTATTAGTTTTGTTTATAAGAGGTAATATCAGTAATATGTCCCGTTCATTTGACAACCTTTACTTTAAAATACTGAAATATATTTTATCATATATACAGATGTTTTCCACCTCAGTATTGTGTAATTCTCTTCATCCAAGTCTTCTCGAATACAAAACGAACGATCTACTTTTAACAGTAACCCAAATATGGCACTGTGTATTCCAATGAATAGCCAATCATTTCAAATCAGGTTGACCGGGTCTCATCGGTATTTTCTGGTATTTTTGGCGAAAATATGCAACCAGTGATCAGTTGAATTGATACCTTTTCATCTACCAGAAGATTTAAGGAGGTTATTGCTTGGAAAACTGTTCGAGCTCCCGGGCTGGCATGCACTGCAGGTTTGTTTACGTTTTCCATCTGTTTTCAGCATATATTGTGAAACATTGAAACTGATGAAAGTCAGGATAAACTACGCTAAATATGTGTTTTTAGATAAGTAACTTAATAAACTGGGGATAATGTTCCATTTTTTTCTGTAAATGATCATGGATTAAACAAGACCAAGGAAAACAATTATAGGTCACAATTTCACAGTGTTTCAGAATGTTTAGCTGTTTACATTAGTGCTAGGAAAAAAATGTAGAAGCCAGGGTATGGCAATGTTTTTAATAGAGGACAAGTTAGGTTATATTTTATAGATATTATTTTGTATTCTAAACCATGTCCATTTTCAAAAACAGGTACAGTGAAATCAATTATGCAGGTTCTTGAAGAAAGTCATGGATGACAACAATGTATGATTTACCAGACTAAGGGATCCCAATGTTTTTTTGACGGTACTTGTACATATTACTTTTTAAAAAAAATCAATAAATAATATCATGAAAATGTTACTTAAACAATTATTTAAATTATCAATTGCTTGACTTTTTCGGGAGTCAGTATAATTATACATTTCTGTTTTCAAAAAATGTGTTATTACTTTTTCCAGGCTCCAGCTACTCAGCTTACTGTGAGAGAGTTAACACCTTATTGACATATCTTTCATGAAGAAGAAACACTTGAGAAGAGTTCAAGAGTTTAATTTTATAGATGGCAAGTGTTGCTTAGACCTAAAGTATTCTTTAATTGTGAAGAAAACAAACATAAGGGTGTTCAGCAATTCATAACTATTAACTGTGATTGCATTGTGTATTTTTAAAATCATTCTTTGGTATGCTTCAAACTCAAAAGTATTTATGAAAACATTGACTATATTTATCCAGATGTATGAAATGTTTATCAAAGTATGAATTCCATTTTAGCATGTTATCTTCAAAATGAGGGACCTGTCAACTTTTACAATTCCAAGATCAGGAAATAATTCATGAGCAGCAACATGCTACTGGGAGAAAGGTACTTATATCCTAAACCATAACTTGAATATCATACTATAGCTCTATAAGCAGCAACTATTGGTCTTTTTGTTACCTGATGACTAAGAAGGAAAATGGAGTTAATTATATGTGTTCAGTAATTATTCATAGATACTGATGCCAGTTCTTTTTAACAAATTATCTTGCAAGTAAGACAAACATTTTCTCAATTCTGCAAAAGTATCTTGGCTACAGAAGGTCACGATCTTATTTTACTCCTACATTAGTATATTTTGTAAATAATCCTTTCAAAAGAAAAATTAGGTGATGATAAACAAAGAAATTACAGAGTTATAAAATTTTAATCTTAGGGGTAAGATAAGGGCTAGTGGCCCAGTCCATTTATATCATAAAATAAGTTAATAGCAACATGTACATCAGTTTGTATCTGTCTTATTTAACAAGATTAACGTAGTCTTTTTGGTAAAAATAAAAGCTGACATTAATGGTTCAAAATATTTTCTTTTTGAGGTTAAAGGTCATGTATGAAATTTTTATCTACATGTATTAATATGGTTGCATCTCGTTTCAATTTTCATTAGTCATGACACTGTGAATACTGATATCACAGTTTATTTGAATTTATAACACAGATGCCTATGAAAATATTCATGTCACTGAAAATATATATTTTTTTTTTCTTTTAAGGAAAACAGTAGAAGACTGCCTGCATGAGAATAAAAGTTTTGGACTCTGAAAAGGAATATGTGACAAAATATATATTTGGACAGTTGTTGATTTCCGCAGAAACGCATGTCGAGTGACATAAAAGTGGAGCACAGTTTCACGTCAATTCAAATCTTTTAATTCAAGGATGAACAATTGGTTCTTTATAAAACAAAATGACATGTTTGAAAAGGATTTTAGTGCAATGTACTCTGTCCTGGATACTTATCTATGTGTATGGGATTTGCAGGATAGACTATGTACAACAGATACTGTCAAGAAATTTGATGTTGTTGATTATATGTTTGTATAAAAATGTTTAGTATAGTAATAAACAAAGTTTAAGTCAATCTGTTGTTACTTTGTATATTAAGTATGATGTCCAGACTTCTTTTGCAGTTTCAATTTGGAAGGAAAAGCTTATTTATCATATGCACAAGTTTTATTCAAAAGAATGGAAAACAGTAATTAACTTTTGTGGCTATTAAAGATGTTATTTAATTAAATTTAATATTTGTAATTATCAGATTTAATGTACCCCAAATACTGTGTTTAATGTTTGTAAATATTAACTTTACTTTTTTGTAAAGTCAAGACAATGTGGGACATTACATCATATTTAAGTGCATGTAAAGTTAATGTAAAGGTTACCTTTTCCAACTTTGACTTTTTTCAGAAAAGCCAATTAAAGGCATTGTAAATAATAAATTTACATTATCTTTACTTGTTTTGTAAAGCCAAATTTTCATGCAGTGTATATCTCTCAAAGTTTCATCTGATATAAAAGCTGGTTAATGAAGAATTTAGAATCTACACTACCCCAGGATGCCTCCATGTAAGTTTCAGCTTTTCTGGCCCAGTGGTTCTTGAGAAGAAAATTTTTAAATGTATTTTCTTCATATTTCAATGTAAAACCTGGATTCCCTATTGTGGCCCCGCCCTACCCCCTGGGGTCATGATTTGAACACTTTAGTATCTGCACTACTCAAGGATGCTTGCACATAAGACTCAGCTTTTCTGACCCAGTGGTTCTTGAGAAGAAGGTTTTTAAAGATATTTTCTACATATTTCAATGTAAAACTTGGATTCCCTATTGTGGCCCTGCCCTACCCTTGGGGTTCATTATTTGTACAATTGAGAATCTACACTACCCAAGGATGCTTCCACATAAGTTTCAGCTTTTCTTGCTGAGTGGTTCTTAAGAAGAAGATTTTTAAAGATATTTTCTACATATACATATTTCAATGTAAAAATTGGCATCCCTATTGTACATGTAGGCCCGCCCTACCCCTGGGGGTCATGATTCGTACTATTTAGAATCTACATTACCCAAGGATGCTTCCACATAAGTTTCAGCTTTTCTTGCTGAGTGGTTCTTGAAAGATTTTTAAAGATATTTTCTACATATTTCAATGTAAAATTGGATTCCCTATTGTGGCCCCGCCCTACCCTCGGGGGTCATGATTTGTACAATTTAGAATTTACACTACCCCAGGTTGCTTCCACATAAGTTTCAGCTTTTCTGATTCAGTGGTTTTTTAGAAGAAGAATTTTTAATGACCCCACTCTATTTTTTTTTTGTCTTTTCTTGATTATCTCCCTTGGAAGGGGGCTTGACCCTTTATTTTTACAATTTTAAACTCCCCTATACCCAAGGATGCTTTGTAGTAATTTTGGTTAAAATTGGCCCAGTGGTTCTTGAGAAGAAGTTGAAAATGTGAAAAGTTTACAGATAGACAGACAGACGGACAGCTAGACGAACGGAAGACGGATAACGGATTATCAGAAAAGCTCACTTGAGCTTTCAGCTCAGGTGAGCTAAAAACCTTGAGGATATAATTACAAATAATTTTCAGTCAAAACTTACTTCTATTAGAAGATTGTTAGGATCACGAACAAGAAGAGATTTACAGATCTGTAACAACACTAGGAAAAATCACAATTATCAAAACTTTAGATCTCCCTAAGCTTATACACTTTTTAGCCCAGCCAGACCCCCCAAAAATCTTTTGGATGGAATAAACAAAATATTTTGCAAATTCATTTGGGGATTCAAGACAGAAAAGGTTAAAAAAAAAAACACTTATCGAGAGATATGAGGATTGTGGCTTAGATATGCTACACTTATCATCTTTCATTTTATATATCAAGTTAAAATGGGTAAAGAGGTATCTGACAAAAAATAA